GACCCTTAGAATCCACCGCGGGGTGCCGGAAGGGCGCAACCCTAATACGGGAAGACGCGCATTTTGTTATTCTGGCCAGACATAATTGAGATAATGGTAGCATTCTACACTTCCCGTCTCCCGCCGCCCCACGATCCCCATTTCGGATGTCCGCTGATTTCCGCTGATTTCCTGCAATCAGCTCCACGTTGTACATTAGCGAATTCGCGGCGTTTGTACAGGCCGTCCAGTTGCCCAACTTTTCTAATCGTCGCTGCGAACGGTTATTCCCACGTTTTGGCTCCCAAACGCTTCTACGTGAGCTCTTGTCTCCAATACACTTGATCCATGTTTCACCCAACAAGCTTGTGGCTCTCAAAGGTGGCAATCAAACTCGCAAAACGAACCCCAAGTGCACTTCTACCTCTCCGATCTGTTGGTATAACACATGAGTGGTACCACGTAGTATCACTTGGTGCCTACAATTTGTACACATCGAAGGACAGACTGCACACACAATGCCCACCAACTGGGGAACTTTCACTGTACTCCACCAGTCGTGTGGTTTACCAGCCTTGGAGCCTGTGCTGAGTGAATGAGGCAAAGGAACCAAGCCACAGATCTATCACAGGAAATCATCCCATTGTGAAAGGGAAATTCAACTAGTATTGGGAGTCATACAAAGCGAATAGCTTGGTGAAAAGATTCCGGCGAATTGGTAAACATCGGGCATGTTGTCATGTGGATTTGTTTTGGAAGAATTTCGGGTTTTCGTGAGTTGTCTGAGGAAGACGGCAGGCAGTTGATGTTTTGATCCACTCTTTGAAGGTGTGTTTGTAAGTTGCCAGGGATTGCAGTGGGGTGTGTAGAATATGATGACATTTCATCCATGTCAACCCAAATATACGAGCTCCGGTATAGTTGCAATGGGAGTCTTTCATCTAAGTTTTTCATGCATTTTGAAAGGTATCTGTGTGGTCCAATTCTTCTGGAAAGGGTTGGATAATATGTTTTTTGATCCATCCCCCTTGTTTAATGCTTCCTATTTTTGTTGCATTCTTGTTGATATCCTCACATGTGTTGCCCAGTATTTTCTTCAGATGGCACCCTACTTTGAATGACAACATATAAGGTTGAACTTCAACTGTAAGTCCAATAAGGCTATGTCTGTTGAATTAGTGCTTGTAAAATCAGAAAAAGGTTCTAACAAATGAGCTAAAAAAAGGTATTTTAAAAAAATTAAAAATTAAGATTAATCTTTTTCTGTTTGTTAATAATAAAAAAAATCTTTGTAACCGCACATGGATAAAAATCACATGAGTTTTGAAACTTAAATCAACAACAATAACAAACAACAGTACCATTATTCCATAATGACCCTAAACTATTACAAGATGGCACTTTGAACCTATGAGTTTTGAAATTGTTCCAATGAGGTTAGCTGTAAAATCCCAATTGTGTTTGATAGAACCTTGTTTAGGGCTCTTCACCCATGCAAAACACACACACACACACACACATATATATATATATATATATATAATATTATGAATAACAAATATTCCATTGTGTATTTCAATTATAATATTTTTTGGTTGCATCAACTTAAACATCACAATGTAATATATATATATATATATATATATGTATATTTTTTTTGAATACATCAATTTTTTTGATCACCTCACATGACAAAGTTTTAAACTTATGATGTCCAACACTTTTAAAAAAAGATTTATCCTACAGGAGTATTAAATGATTTTTGAAAAAAAAAGGTCAATATTCAAAATAAATAATGATTCCTTTTATGAAATTGACATAACCTCTAATGAAACAATTGGATAAATTGAGTAGACTACATATACTTTCTTACAAATTTAAAATCTTCACATTTGATATCAACAAATTTCTATTTCTATAAAATATATGGCTGATTATATTTTTCAATCGATGGAAGAATATTTTGAATAGAATAAAGATCTATCTACTTATTAATTTATAAATATCATCCATGCAGTTTTAATATTTACAAACCAAATGCACAACTTATTGAGAGACACTTTATTCTTAGGAGATAAGATGAGAGGCCTTAACTTTTAAATATTATGATTGGTCTAAATTAAGAAGCCTCCTTAAACTAGCTTTATACTTACAATAATAAGTCTAAAAATATTAGGAAGAAAAAAATAAAGTAGCTTTATACTTCAATAATAAGTCTAAAAATCTTAAAAAGAAAAAAATAAAGTAGAATTAACTTTTTTCTTACAGAGCATGAATATTGTTGTCTTTTAGAATTTCTATTGAGGCCATTTTAAAAAGGTGATTTTTTTAAAAAAAAAACTAAGAGGTTATGTCAATTTTTTAAAAATAACTAATAAAAAATTATTATTATTTTAATTTCTTATAATTATTTTAATCAGGATATCAATTGAAATATTAGACTTATAATAAAATAATAATTTGGTCCATTTCATAGCCTCTTTTTACCTAATACTACATCCAATGAACAAAGCTTCCAAAGGAGAGTTTTTTTTCACCAAGTAAAGCTTCTAAACCATGGCTTTTAAAAGTAGGCTTCTTCGTATAAAACACCCTTGATTTATTTTATTTTTTTGATATGAAAATAAGATATATTAGATGCATTAAATCATGGCCTTTAAAAGTAGGCTTCTTGATATAAAGCACTCTTGATTTATTTTATTTTTTTGATATAAAAATAAGATATATTAGATGCATTAAAAGAGTAGAAAAATGAAAAATAAATAGCTTAACTTCTAATATCTAATAAGACAAAATTAAGTGCATTATACATGATAGTTGTAGATAAAATTTTATTAGATTTATTTTTATGTATTATCACATAACTTTATAGCATTCTAGCATTCTATTTATTTACCATATCTACTCTATAATCTAATAATTGTCTTGCCATCAAAGATTTGTGCTCGAAAATTCATTATACTATAAATTATGGAGAATGTTAAATAGATCCAAGTTTTTACTAAATTGACCTATCCATGAAGAAATATATGGTAATTATAATGAATGTGGTTGGTTTTGATTAATTTTGAATCCAATAGTGGAACATTGAATCTAGAGATCTATTTATTTATTTATCTATTTATTTATTTTAATTTTTATAAATATTAGAATGAATGGATAAATTTAATAAAAGCCTAAGCCTATTTAACATTTCTCTAAGTTATAAGTATATAATGGAATTTACAACTAACACTTTTGAATTTTGGCATACATGGCAAGGCATCTATATAAGCATACAAAGACTATTATACAGTGTCAAAAAAGACTTGGTAGAAGCTGACAAGCCTTATCTCCCCATGATTGATGTTGCATCTACAATTACATCAAGACCATTGGCAAGTAAAGATCAAGATGGAGCAGTAGATGTGAGTCTAGCAAAAATAAAGGATGTACAATCTCAATTACTTCATCCAGTGGAAAAATAGAAAATTTGTAAATATTTGCATTTAAGTTGATGTTTTTACAAAGCCATGTAGGTGTTGACAATTGCCTTCTTCCAATATTGCTGTGTATTATATATCAAATCCATCCTTGGCTTTCCATTGAATTCAATAATATTGAAGATTTGTTTCAAAAAGAGCATGATACTCAATTATCTTTGCTCTTAGACATCACCTTCCAGATGTCTCCACCTCTCATAGAAGTCCATCTCATCCATGCATTTTACATGATATTAGAGCAATGTGACAAAATTCAAGTTCTCTAGTATCTTATTTCATCACCTTTTACACAATATATCGTAGTAGAATTACAATACTATCTTGCTAAACTACTATGTCTTATTATTAGTAAGTCTTCATTCTTTCTAACCATTCACTATTATATTGAGAGACAATGTAGTTTTAGAAGATATAAAATTGATTGGTTTATCAAACTTCTAATTGTGAAAATATTTGATAATCCATATGGCTAACTGAAAGAAGCTCTAGTAGATTCTCTCATGACAAACCTTTGACCTACAGTAAGAGGAATTCAATATTGACAATATAAAGTGACTCATGTATATCATGAGTATGTCCATCAAATTGAGTCTTTTATTATAACTTATAGAATTCTAGAAACCAAAAGAATTATGGGATTTTTTGTGTAAGTTGTTTGAAGTAAATAACAACAATTGTAAGTTTGAATTCAAGAACTATCTTGCTTTCATTCCATTTTTTGAAAGTTCTAAGATTGAATTCTACTTTTTGTAATTTAAAAACTTTTCAGTTTAATTATCAGCTATCAAATTTAAAATTGATGACTTAAACCTTGTGCACATTATGATAAAAACATTACCTGATAATTTCAATTACTAGTTGCAAATTTACACAAGGTGTAGAAGTTTTCCAGCACTAGATCAACTTCAAGCTTGATTAATGTTGGAAGAAAGCCAAAGGTAGTCAAGAATTAGAGTTAGAAGACCTCAATCAACTCAAATTAGTCATACTAAAGCCTTGTATTTAAGAGGAAATCAACATTCTTAATTGAATATATCATAACATTATTATCAACATTGAAATTCATACTCTTACAATCAAGAAAATCAACCTTACTCTCTAGGCTCATACACCTAGTATAGTAATTGATTCATAAAATACTTCCACTATAGATGCCATAGCCATCCTAAAGACATGTGTTTTGAATAGCTTGCAAATATCCACAAGCTAGAAACTGATAGATGATAGAAACTTAGTCTTCAACTCTCAATTAACACCATATAAGATAATTGGAATTGGTTAACTTTTGATACCTACCTAGAAATACTAGACAAAAAAAACTATAAGATAATTGAAGCCGTTTTTTTTTTTTTTTTTTTTTTTTTTTTTTAGATTTGAATAGTCAAAATTCTTGTTGGTACTTGGACTTAGATGCAATCTAGCATG